GTGCCATACATACACCGCATTTCCCATAACTTGAAGCGGGCGGCATCCAAGTTTGATGTACAGGTTGTGATGTCAGCTCCTGACAAACTAAGGAGGCTATGCCCAAAAATCAACAACAAACAGGAACGAACTGCAAAATGTACTGTAAAGCATCAACACCAATATGTCACCTGCATCAGCGGTGTAGTGTACGAAATACCGTTGTCGTGTGGAAAGGTATATGTGGGACAATCCGGACGTTGTCTAAATGTCAGGCTAAGGGAACATGCCTTAGCGTTAAGGTCATCTCCCGCGGGACATCTTGCGGGTGCATGTAAGAGACTGTCTGTGTACCCCACTCTTCGAGCACACGAAAGTCCTCAAACGGTTTTCTGGTCAGGGGAGTAGAGAAACTCTTCGAAGCACACGTCATAATATCCAAGGACGACGCCTGCATCAGTGCTCCTTCAGTAGCCTTATCGGAAAAAGAACAGTTTTACCTCAGCCTTCATCCCTGAAGATCCTTCCTCACACTATGTTGACACTGAATTCTTTTTCTTATTCTTTTCTCTTCTTGTTTTTCTCCTTCCTTTTTTCTTTTCCTTTTTATTTCTTGTTTATTATTATTCTTTATTTTTGATTTTCTTAAAATTGTTTTAATTTTTTTTTTTATTTTTGCTTCATAATATTTTGTATATAATTACAAAAAGCATCCTTCTGTTTCCTATACGATCTTTTTTATCTTCCTTCTTCTTTTTCCATCTCCTTTTTTTGTCTTTGAATCGCCTCACTACTTTTCGTCTTCTTTTCTCTTGTAAATAAAACGCCAGTTGTCATTTAGCGCTCTTTCCTGTCTCTCGTTCTTCCCTCCGGCGTCCTTGCGCCATTTTTTAATCATGAATGGCGAGGCTGTATGCAAAGGAATATGTGTACACCCTGCATTTGGGTGTATCTGTGTACCCGAGGGTGTAGAGAAGGGTGCACGTGGTCACCACTAAAGTGGCTGCATGTGTGTATCCGTTCTTAGGGTGCAGTAGATGGGACAATAAGCTTAGACCCCAGCATGTGTAAGTAACCCTTTTTCTTTGAGCGCGTATGCAAAGCAATTTCGTGAAATGAAGTAGAAGCTGAAGGTTTGAGACGCTGTGTGTGTTTCCCTTTTAAATTTCGTTTTTCTAGTATACATCGGCTTGCCTGTATGTTTACCTGTTTTTTCGAAACCTTAACCTCTGGAGTTAAGGATGTCTCTCTGTTTGTATTTGGCGCAGTCAACGGATGGCAGCCGCGTTTGGTTTCTGCAGCTGTTCACCACGGGGGAAGAGGCGGCTACCACAGACCGCACGATGGGAGAAATAAATGATCGAACGGTTGTGTCCGTCTCAAGTCATTTTCGCCAAAACATCCTTCAGAAGAGCTACGTCACGTGGCACATGGTCCAGGTCAAAATGGTCCCGGTCAAATTGGCCTCGGTAAAAAGGGTCTCGGATAAAATGGAGCAGGAGGGAACTTAAAAGATATGTGAGTGTGTGTGTGTGGGGGGGGGGGGGGGGAGAGGGGGGGGGAGCGGGCCCCCTTATGTTTCCTAAAGGCAAGTTTTTTTGTAGGAAAAGAACGACAGACACTATTGTCGGTGACAGGTCAAGAAAGAAGTGGAAGCTCCTCCCACCTCTTTCCACTACAGCAGAGCAAACGCAGGAGAAGAGGCGACCTCTTTTCCATCGTTCACTCTGCTAATAGTGGAAAGAGGTGGGAGGAGCTTCCACTTCCTCCTTGACCTGTCAACGACTATAGCTTACTTTGAGCAAGAAACGTTTAGTTTCTGGTGAAATTGTAAATATTGGGTAAACAAAATAGACCAGGGTAACGCCAAATACGGTAACGCTGCGCCCATGACGTCACATCCGTCTGTGAGGTTAGATCTCTCTGTATACCCCCCTTCCTCCATCCCAATGCCCCCCCCCCCCCCCCCCCCCCCCCCTGCCAAGCCTGACCCATAAATCCGCTCCTGAAAAAACCAGGACCAAAAAATCATAAATTAATGTTTCGACAATCGTTAAGGCGCTTATTAAACTGTTACTGTGAATAATAATTCAAGTGATGCTGTATTCTGTCCTGTACTCAAGCTTTTCGGCATATACATTTTTCCGAAACGTCTAGCGCAGAGCCCTTTCGCACAATAGTCTTTTAAATCTGAACTATCATTTATAAGGCAGCTCCATGGCCTGGCTCTCAAGCTGTCGATATCTATTGATGCCCTTCCGAAGATGGCAGTTAACATAGACGATTGTCTAACAACACACAGTATTTTGCTAGTTGCCCAAAAACTGGTACTCCATGTTAGCATATCACCTAGGTCGGGCAAAGATTTGGTCCATGTTTTTACAGCGAGATAAGATATATTTTCTGGGGTCATGAAACACATTTAATCAACGCCCCCAGTCGACTGAATAAATTAATTGTGTTTTTTTTTTTTCTGATGTGCTTTCTCTATTTATCTGGAGATCTCACAACCCAAAAGGAAAACTTACAAGAGGAACGGAAAATGTGTATATCTCTCGAAATGAATTCGTATGCACCGAATTCCCTTAAAAGTTAAACGTACGAAAAACAACAGGAACGATGAAGGAAGGGTTCGTGCGGCTTATGCATTCAAGTTACATTATTTGTGCTCTATGCTGTAAATAGAACTAATGAGTATTAAAGCGCATAATATTTCTTAGAATAAGTTTTTGTCAACATTTTCTTTTCCTGTTGTATCACTGAGTTGTACAAACAGTCGATATACCTGCAAGGAGCAAGGCAATGCTGCAAAATTCAGTTGGGAGCATATTGTCCGGTGCCATTTTGACTGGGACCTCCTACAGACCTGGACCCCTACAGTCCAGCATCTTGTCCGGTAACGTTTTGTCCGCGATGATTTTATCGGATTCCTAGTGTCTTCCAGTTCGGTTGCGTCCGGCCCTTGGTTGAAGCTCACGTGACGCACAAACAGCACCGAAGACAATAAGTTTGCCATCTTGTAGACCCTGAAATGAAAAACAATAAAAAGAAACGGACGAGGACAACAAAACCTCAAACGCAGTTGAAATTGATTGCTTATTTGATTGATTGATCGATTGATTGATTGATTGTTGTTGTTGTCTTTGTCCGTTTTTTTATTGTTTTTGTTTTTTGTCTTAGGGTCCACAAGATGTCGATTGATTACCAGTTCGCCTGCACTCCATCACTGCTCACAATAAAAAGTTTGCCCTGAGATATGGGCACCTTCCTGAATGACGAGCCGTGCTGTACCAAAGTCCGTCCATTAGATTAGAGAACAAAATGGCCACCTTCGCGAAATGCCACGTTCCCATAACGGAGAAAACATCCAGTTATTGGCAAGCGTTTGCAACTACGAAGTGCATAAGGCACTAAAGTTTTCAACGAAGACTCAGGACAAAAAAAAAAAAGAGCTACATCTGTTTGGGTCATTATATATGCAACCATAAATAACATCCACCATAGAATACGCTAGTGACTAGTATTTAAAAAAAATAAAGAGAGTGTAATAGCGATACCCGAATCTGAGGGGGCTAACTAAAAGGGCGGACAGTTGGTTTCCCGGGTATACCCATCACATAGATGTGGCCATCACCGTGACCGTAGCCTTCGTCTAAACAAAACTGTGATTGTAGGTAAACGAGAAAACCAGACATGTTAGTATTTATTGCTCACGACAGCAAATGCACTAAGACGATGAGCGCAATGACGATGAACTTTTGGTGCTATATTAATGTTATATTTAAAGTTTCATTATTTTAAATGGACACAGGTCAGTGCATTTTTATGACGGCGTTGGCATAGTTTGTCCGAATTCCGTTCAGACTAATACAAGAAACTCAACCAAAAACACATGGGGTTGGCGGGGAGACACAGAAGTGGTGCCATCTCTTGAAAAGGAGTGGTCAACTCGGTGTCAATCAAAAATTAAATTGATATGAGTCATGTGCTCCACTCCCCTTACACTATCGTTAAAAATATATAGTTACCGATTAAAATTGAGAAACAGTTGGTTATGGCACATTTGTATTAACCGATGTGTTCCAGAAAGTTACTATGCAAGTCAGTAAACATGTGTTCATATGAACGATGTGTAGTTAAATGCCTACTTCATGCTCTCAATAATTTTTTTCTAGTTATTTGACTATTTATCTGTTATATTACCTTCAAGTCGTTATTATTAGCTAAAATTTAACTCTATTGTGTTATTCGCGTTCTTAATGGGTGAGATTGGTTTCCAGTGGCTCATATTGGTTTCTGGGACCTATTCTTGACCAGATCAGTTTCACTTGGCTATGAATAACTATTAGCGACTATTACTCCCGCTTCTGAGGCATTGGCAAGGAGGATAGAAGGGTAGGAAAGGGCATGACGTCAGCAGCGTAGCCTCCACAAGCCATGCTCCCTTGATGCCTCGCCTCTATCTAATTTTCCTCCTTACTCTCCTCACTTATCAGGCCAACGTGACCACATCAAGTGACCGTAGTTAGCCTTCGTCTAGCCTTCGCTCTGATAAAACCTACCGTATGGAGAGCGCGCAACCCTGCAAGGAATCCTTCTACAATCAACCATCCATCTCACACGTGACATGTCACGCGCACCAATTGCCAGAGAGATCTACGGTCACGTTGGCCACAACATCGTTTAAACTTTTTATGACTAGGTTTCACCAATATTGCAACGTGCCCACTCCTAGTACTTATAACCTCCTTGCCGCTCACTCAGTTCTAGTCCTAACTAGGGATGTCGCGAACTTTTGTCGGACCGGATTTTTAGGTCGAACGTTAGAGGAACCTTCGAACTTTAGACCAGATTCGACCGGTTCGCTTTGTGGACAGTGTGGCCAGACCTTGGTACAAGCATGTCTAGGTTTGGAGAATTTTTTTTATGCAAAGGGTTATTTTATTTTATGAACAGTAGCAATTAAAAGAAACCAATTCTAATCACTGAAGAAGTTAATAACTTAATTTTTTGTACTGTATTAACTGAAATAACCAATCAGCGCTGCCCTTAATTCATCCCTTAGCCATCACCATTCAATCCGAAGCCAACTGGCCAGCCTTTCGCGCATGCTCACACGAGTCGAACCTCAATACAAGGTCGTCGAACTTTCCACTAAAAGTTTGAAAAAGTCGAACCTGGTCGAACTCGAACCTCAGCCGGTTCGCGACACCCCTAGTTCTAACTAGGGGTGTCGCGAACTTTAGTCGAACCGGATTTTTAGGTCGAACTTTCGGGGTTCGACATAAACCTTCGAACTTTTCGCCAGATTCGACCGGTTCGACTTTGTGGACAGTGTGGCCAGACCTTGATACAAACCTGTCTAGGTTTGGAGTTTTTTTTTTTTTTTTTATGCAAAAGGTATTTATTTTTTTAAGAGTTGCAATTAAATGAAACCAATTATAATCACTGAAAAAGTTAATAACTTAATTTTTCGTACTGTATTAACTGATCTTGGAGCAGTCAGTATTAACTGATCTTGGGTCTTGGAGCTGGCAGACACCCAGACTTGCACTCACCATGCCTTTTTCGCCTGCAGACGGTTATCCTGCCGGTACTATGGGGATACGGTTCATTCGTCACATGCACACTCGTCACAGGAGGATTGGTCACAGGAAGATTCGTCACACAGGAACATTCGTCATAGGATGACTCGTCACGCGGCCAACCGGTCCCACAATAGTTCGTCTCCCCAAAAAATGAATCGCTCAATTTGGTTCGGGCGGACAAAGTGGCTCACCTTACATCTTAGTATGTGCTTGGCTTCTGAAAGGCGAAGAATTTGTAACAAACGTTTTAGCTTCTGGTTCGGTCCCGAACATTGAATGTTGGTTTGGCCTGACAAAGTGGGTCACCTCTTATCTTAGCATGTCTATCGCTTCTCAAGGTCAAAAAATTTGTAACAGACGTTTTAGTTTCTGGGTCCGTCCCAAACGGTGAATGAGGAGGCCATATAAGAGCGACTTTTTTTTAACTCGGACTACATTCAAAAGGATGGAGGTGATCGCAACAGAGAGAGGTGGAGCCATGCAGCTGCACGAGGGGTACTCGTACACATGCAGCAGAAAGAATTCCGATACTTATTGATTTTGTCGAATAGGGGTATGCAAGGCACAAGTAACAACTCATTTGGCTGAGTCGGATTATTGCTCGTTCAAGCCAGCAACTGAGATCAACCTGCTGAAGCCTCGTAATATAATGAAAGTAAAAGCGGAGTATTGTAAGATTAGTTTTCCTAACCATTGGTTTATGTGACAGTGGGAAGTCGTGAAACTCCTCATCAGCGAATGTGGGTAGTTGTTGAAATTTGTGATTTACTATCGTCCCCTGCCCGATCGATGTGACCAGTTGCCCCCATGACGAGTCATCCTGTGACGAATGTTCCTATGCGACGAATCGTCCTGTGACCAATCGTCCTGTGACGAGTGCGCATGTGACGAATCGTCCTCATCCCGGTACTATGCATCGTCAGCCACGCCAGCTTCGGAGGGACCGCGCCATCATCAACAACGAACAACAGCTTGGTGATCGGTCCCTTTGCGATGACTGCGCCAATGCTATCGACGACTGGACAGCAGAGGGCGTTCTTCCGTGTGCCCGTGGCTGACAGACACCCCTACAACGAATGAACTTCCCCAGTTGTTATATAAGCCAACGGACGCCACCGCTCCCTTGGGTCCTTGGAGCCGGCAGACACCCAAACATGCGCCCACCGTTCCTTTTTCTCCTGCAGGTTGGTACTATTTCCATTGGCTACCTTCCTAGAACCTGTCTTTGCCTGCCGGCTCCACCCAAAGACCTGTTTTTGATGTCATGTGCATGTTGTAAGCACCGCCACGTTGTGTTGCGCCGTAGGCGGTTTTTTTCTCGCTGGAGAATAATGTTCCTCGTTTTGTTGCTACTACTGTCGGGTGACGTCGAGCTGAACCCAGGCCCCTCGACGAAAGCTGAACAGATGACAAAAATAGAAACTATGCTCGAAGGGCTGACAGTCAGTATGGCCAATGTTACGATTAAACTTTCTAACATAGAGAGTAAACAAGAAGAATTTGTAAAAAAGCTTGACAACTTAATTAAAAGTAATGACCACTTGGAAAAGCGTGTTGCGGATTTTGAGGACCAGAACAAAAGGGATAGAAGAGCATATCGTTGACCTCGAAAACTGCAGCCGCCGGTGCAATCTCTTGTTTTACGGCATACCCGACGGAAAGCGCAATGAATCCTGGGAGGAATCAAAGAACCATGTGGTACAAATTTGTAATGAAAACGTGGAAATGAATCCTACTACGATTCATAGGGCGCACAGGATTGGTTACTTTAAAGATCGTTTCAAGAGACCATTTATAGTGAACTTTATGTTTTGGACCGAAAAGGAAGATATTCTACACTCTGGATTTAAAATTAAGAACATCGACTTTAGTGTATCTGAAGATTTCAGTAATTCACTTCGCGAAAAAAGACGTAATCTCTGGAACAACTCTAAACAAATAAGGCAAGATAAGAGCAACAAAGTGCATCTTTCATTTGATAAGCTAGTTGTAAACGGCGACGTGTTTATCTGGGACGCTGAGCGAAAAGTGGCAGTCCCTGTACGTAGAAGAAGTACAAGGCCACAACAATGACGCAGCCCTTTGACCACAAATGTTCAAAGCCCATCAACATCGTCGGACTTTCTTTCCACTGTATTGTTGCTAAACTGCCGTAGCCTTAAAAATAAAGTAGATGATTTCTTTCGCCTTGTAGAATCAATAAAGCCAAGTATTATCATGGGCACTGAGTCATGGCTCAACGAATTCGTGCTGGACAGTGAAGTATTTCCTGGTGGCTTCTGTCTACCGTAAAGATCGACACGCACATGGCGGAGGGGTGTTTTTATTAATAGGCGCACGATGGGCAACCAGTCAACGCCTTCTACCACACAATAACTCAGAGTTTATTTGGTGTCGAGTTCAACTATCCAAATGAGGCACTCTAGTCTGGGGCACCTACTATCGTCCCCCAACCATAAACGACATAGATGAGCTTAGTCATGTGCTATCTTCGATTCCTGATAGCTCTGTTATTATAAAAGGATGTACTCGTCCAATCTTCCTAACGTCGATTGGACGAGTACATCCTTTTGCACCGATAACTCTAGTTTGTATAAGGGTTTTGATGACCACATTATCTCGTTTTCTCTTAAACAATTTGTTCTTTCACCAACAAGAAACAATTCAATTTTAGATTTGCTATTGACCAATAACCCAAGCCTTATGTCTAATGTCACTGTAATTCCTGGTATTAGTGACAACAGTGCCGTTGTCTGTGATTTATCAATAAATCAGGCTCATAGACTGCAATGCCGCCACGAAAAAGCATACTGTACGAGAGAGGTGACTACGAAAACATTTCTCATGAACTTTCAGTTTATTTTCCTCACTTTTTAAACTTGAGCGTGGAGAGGGATGTTGAACATTTGTGGGATGTTTTCAAACAAAAGATTAAGCTACTCGTGAACTCTTGCATACCATTCAGAATTCATAAGGGAAATAAGGGACATAAACCATGGATTACTCTTCCAATTCGAAAACAAATGAAGCGTAAACGTCGTGCTTTAAAGAAGTATCGTAAAAATCAGTCTGACAGTGCTAGGCAAAAGCTCGAAGAAATATCCAGA